TATTTTTCGCATGCGAGCGGCGGCCATTTTGTTGACTGTGGTCACTAAACTCAATCGCGCATGCGCGCGTGAGCGTCGGCAGCGGCCATTTAGTTGTAGGTAAAAGACAAATCTATTACACAAGGGACACATCTTGTGAACTGAAATGGAGCACCACCACAATCTAATTATCTGCATAGCCCGGAATTAACCTAGATGTATAAATAACATACATCTATTGTTGGGGGAGCATAATGAGGAAAATACAATGAATATTAATTACTCATTCTGATTTATAAAGAGTGTTAATAAACGTTGTGCAGGATACATTAACATCAATCCCTGTTGACCAGAGGTGGTAAGCAAGGTGTATGATGGCTCCATTCCAATACATGACGTGTACATAGTCAGTGATAAAATACATAAATATAAGAAAACCATGAATAAATGATCAATACATAAATAAACAATACAATCTAATAACATAAATACTAAATAAAATACAGAATCCAGTTACCGCTATGCAAGTGGATATAAAATATATGGTGACTCACAATAGTAATGTACAGAGGTGTACAATGCTCATACGGCTAAAATATCAAAGAGGGGATAAAAGAAATGTAGATCCGTAATAAAATTTATCGATAAAAGTGATAAAAATTCATTGATAAAAAGAGGGGATCACTAAAATTTGTAAAAAAGGTTATTGCATCCTTAGTAAAACCTTTTAATTAACTAAAGATAAAATGAATAATGATGAGAATAATCTGATGTGACATTTGTATTTAAGAGTGTAGAGCTGCTATAAATGCAAATATTCATAAAAAAGTCTCCGTATAGTCTATAGTGATGGATGTACATATAATCCAAGACCCATAATAAACCTTATTAAACATAAAGGTGATCCTGTACTAAAATTTAGTCTCCAAATAAAAGAAATATAGACCCAAAGTATCATAAAACATAGGCAGGAAAGGAGGAGGGGGGTTCTAACTGGTGTCAATAAAACAATTGATATCTAAAGCAATGTTAAGACCATGAGGAGAAAGTTTGCAATAAAAAAATCCATTTGGTTTCCAGCATAGAAACAGCCCTCCTTTTAAAAATTCCTCTCCATTGCTTTTTAATAACATCAATGCCCGTTAATTTGAAACAATGGGGATTTCTGTGGTGTTGTTGTCTAAAATGCATGGATAGGGAGTGCTCCTTGAAACCTTTTTTAATGTTGGACAAGTGCTCACATAGTCTATCCCTGAGTCTCCTGGTTGTTCTGCCCACGTACTGCTTGCCACATGACCACTCAAGCAGGTAGACGTGTGTGGTATTGCATGTAATAGTAGTTTGAATATCAGAGGTTCTTCCTGTTGTATTTGATCTGAAAGATTTCACAGGGTTTTTATGTAAACCATTATGGATGCACAGCATGCACCTGTTGCAAGGGTAAAAACCTTTACGATTGAAAAAGAAAGAAATTGTTTAGGAGGATTGACTATATTTGGTGCAAGTTTTATTCCTTAATGAAGACGCTCTGCGGTAGGTGATTTCTGGATGGTCAGGTAGAGCCCTTCCTAATACGGGGTCATTTTTCAAAATGATCCAATTTTTCTTTATGATTTTTGCTATGTACTTATATTGTGTAAAGAAGTTAGTAACAAAGGGACCAAATCTTTCAGTCTGAACACTGCCTCTAGAGGTGAGGAGATTGTTTCTATCTATATCGCCAACCTTATTTATCTCTGCTTCTAGTGTTGTGGTGCCATATCCTTTTTCGATAAATCTGTTGTTAAGGATATTGGATTGTGTAATAAAATCTTCTCTTTTTGCACAGTTCCTATGGATGCGTAAAAATTGCCCTCTGGGTATATTGTCCAGCCATCTAGGTAGGTGGCAACTATCCTTGGGGATGAAACTGTTTGTCAGTTGATTTGAAGAGGCTTTTGGTGGAAATCTCTACCATTGTTAAATAAGGTTAAATCCAAAAAATTGATTTCATAGTAGTCATGCTGGAAGGAGAGTTGTATATTCAATGAATTATAGTTAAGGGTAGTGAAAAAATTATTCAATGTAAATTCGTCTCCTTCCCAAAGTAGCAGAATGTCATCTATACAACGATAGTAAAAAATAAACTGTGGCCAATCTCTTGAATAAATTAAGTCCTCCTCCCATCTAGCCATGAATAAACTGGCTAGGCTGGGTGCGAACTTCGCACCCATAGTGACACCGTTTGTTTGTAAATAGTACTTGTCACTAAACCAAAAGTAATTGTGACTCAATGCAAAGTCTAGCAGATCAAGAATAAAGTGCTTTTGTGACCAGGGAATGTCCTCTGCAGTGTTAAGATAGAATTCTACATCAGCAAGGCTGTCAGCATGTTTGATGTTGCTATATATAACGCTGCCACATCAGCCGTCACCAAAAAGGTGGGGTTGTGGAGTGTGATATCTTTTATGTCCGTCAGAACCTGTTTGGTATCTTTCAGGAAAGCTGGTGTATTGCACACTAAAGGTTGAAGAAAGTGGTCTATGTATTCTCCCACACGGGAGCAAAGAGAACCAATGCCACTGACTATTGGGCGCCTGGGGGATTAACAGGGTCTTTATGAATTTTGGGCAGACAGTATAAAATTGGTAACTTAGGGCTGTCGGGCAAAGGTAGTCTTTCTCTTTTTTGTTCAGAATACCATCATCAAAGCCCTTTTTTATTAGTGCTTTCAGCAATTTTTTATAAGGGATGAGCGGATTGCTCTGCAGTTCCCTATATGTATCCTTATTTAAGATATGAAACACCTGTGACAGGTAGTCACTTGTTTATGACAACTACTCCCCCTCCTTTGTCTGCGGGACGGACTACTAACTCCTTATCATCTAGTAGCCTTTTCGTCAGTAGGTCAATACGTTTCTGATCATAATATCTGTTGGTCAAATTTTTTATTTTCATTTTTTCCAAATCTTTCAGGACCATGTTTTTAAAAATAGTGATATGGGAATGAGCGGGAGGGTTAAAAAGTGAGGCATTTCTGAGATTAGAATTCTTAAAAGCAACCGAGACTGAATTCGTGGTATCCCTGGTAACGGGGGTTACTGAAAAAGTCTCTCTTTAAAGATAGTTTTCTGGTGAGTTTATGGATGTCAATAAAGGTCCCAAATTTGTTGAGTTTAGCTGGTGGGGCGTATTTTAAACCTATATTAAGGAGATTTAATTCTTCATCAGTGAGGGTTTTGTTACTAAGGTTGAAAATACCTGTACTGGTTACATTCTTTTTTTTGTCTATTACGCCTGGTTCCTCCTTGCTTTCTTCTTGCCTTAGGTCTCTTTTTATCCCAGAACCTTTGCCTAAAAAAATGATCAGACTCACTGCGATAATGAGGTCCCAGTTTAGTATTCATATGTTCCCTATTATTGTAGCCAGGATTATGATAATTAGGATAGGAGTGGTTGTTATATTGAGGATTTCTGTTACTATAACAATCATCCTGGTAGGTACGGTTATCCTGGTAGGTACGATTAGTGGAGTTCTGGTATCTATTTCTAGATGGTGTTCTGTAGTTGGAGTATTGTTGATTGTTATCATAATAAGGATCAAAGTAATGGCCAATTCCATTGAAATCTCTCTGTATATGACCCCTAGAAGGTGTTCTTTTTTGTAATCTTCTGTATCCATATAGGGGACTAGTTTTTCCTTAGTTTTGTTAATTTCTATCCTACCTACCAGCTCTGGGTCTGCTGCATCCGTCTGCTGTCAGCTGCTTCTGTCCTCTGGCTCATCCCTGATGAAGCATCAGCTGCTTACCTGTGCAGCCTACTGGACTTACTACAGGCACTAATATCTCATTGTGCTCTCACAACCACTGTCTCATTCCCAGTGGTCCCTGAGCCAGGGCTATAAGACAGTCATCCCTCTTCACAACAGGCTCTATAACCAGGTAAATGTCAACATACTCATATTTCCAGATCCTGCTTTGTCTCATGGCTCCCGGATGAAGATAGTTTGAATTTCGAAAAGCAATGTGGCATTCTTATTATCACTGAGGCATATTTGTCTTTGTGCAATAGTACATGGTGGCTTGAATATTGTCATACTTCATTTTGTGGCTGTCAGTTTTTTTAAACTTTTTTCTATTGCTTTTTTTTTTCTTTTTTAACATTCAATAAATTGTGTTAATTTTACTATGTTGTAATGTTTGGCAATGTAAAATATAATGCCTAAAAAATGCAAAACAGGTAAAACAAACCTTTCTACGCTATAGACATTGTATGCCGCAAGATTTTACTCTGATGAGATTTGGGAATAATTTATGTTGATGTTAAAATCATCTAAAACTATTTCAGCTTGGTAATAACTCTTTAATAAAACAAAAACGGTGATATCTGATTCAAATGCAGACAATTTTATTTACAAAAGTAAATCAGAAAATATTTTAGATACAGAAAAGTTTTAGAAAATAAACTTTTAACAAATAATTTCAAAGAAAAAAAAAAAAGAACAAATGTTAAGGCACAATTCTTGCATAGAAATTTGAATGTCAGAAAATCAGAATTTGCAGCATTTCTGCACATAACCACAATATAGTGATATACCTCAAGGTGCATACAATACATTCAAATGCATTTAAGTATTATTTTGTTCTTGAAAAGGCGGCAACAGCCATCTACTATCAACCTGATACTGCATGTTAAATAGGATTTTAATGAATACCCTCTTCAGACACTGGCAATGAAATAGATGAAAGAAGGGCACAAAAATGTTTTGAAATTACACATAAAAGCGTACTTTTTACAAAGAGTCTTCAGAACACTGAAAATACAACACGCCCCTTAGCTTTGATTATCCTCTCATAAATATGTCAACAAAATCTAATTAAAGAATATAAGGCAACGGCAATGTCATATCTTACAGATAACATATATAAACCACATGAAGCACACATCCAGCTTGTGCTTATACATTTACATCATCATCATCATCTTCTAATCGGTACTCCTCAGCTTCTTCTAGAAGTGGCTCTGCAGTAATAGGACCATCACATGGAGGTGGGCTGCCCAGCTATGAAGAAAATGCACAATATACTTCGTTATCTACTTTAAATATTTTGAAATATTCTCTATGCATTAAGGTAGTTTACTCCACATCCATTGTCCAATTCAAAGCAATGAGAAATGATACTAAGTATGTTAGACATTTATTTATTTTAAAGTAGAAATAAAAAAAATCAGCAGAAAAATAATAGCTAACAGGGGAAGGGGAAGGAGGCGTTAATTGGGACTGGTTAAAGTTAACTAAGGAATAATAAGGAGTTAAATAAAAATACATTTTAAACACTTTTTAAGCTTGTAAGGGTTCCTAACCTAATCTCATATGCAGATGAAAAGTCATTCCTTTGATCTACCTGTGAATAAAATCATAATTAAATGCAATGAACTATTACTACAATGTATTACCACTTGCAAACTATCAGCAAAAATCATTTGAAGTGTCATGAACAGGAAGCTTAGCAGCTCCTGTGTGCTGGGGCGTACAATCCCCAAGCTTCTACCTTGGTGTTAACCCATTAATTCAACTTCTGATTCTTCAGGACCATACAGCAGCCAAATGAGTGTATGTCTAGTGCCGCAATGGAAAATGCTCATTCAAAACATCAAAATGTGCAAGCAACATTAACAGATCCATGATACATAACTTAAAGCGGAGCTCCAGTCAAAATTAAAAAAAATATAAAATTTGGCAGCAACAAAAACTGCTTCCTAGACGATCACAGCAGAAGTGGGAACAGGTACCTGTCAAATTCAGGTACCTCCTCCCCCCCAAAAGGTTCCAATCCTCAATGGGGAGTGGAAGACGAGGCCTTAAAGCTGGACTTCCCCTTTTGGGTGGAGCTCTGCTTTAAGCGTACATTACCGATGTTTTAAAATTGGAATTACTGTGCTCCACCCAAAAGATGAAACTCTGCTTGTCTGCCGCCCCCTACCCCTCCACTGGCACATTTGGTTTTGACAGCTACCCACTCCCATTTCTGGCTGAGTTCGTTGCGGCAAACTGACCCTCCGTCCTTCCCCTGCAGCATTCTGCGACACTTCACAGGTCCCAGAAGACTGCGGTCCATTCACAAAGTGCAGCACACTTTGAAGCATGCGCAGTAGGGAACCCTTAGTCAAGATGGCGGAGCCAGAACCCAATAGCCAATTGAAGAATCATCTCAGGTGAGGACACCGCTGGATGCCTAGACGGGTAAGTGCCCTAATATTAAAAATTAATAAGAGCTCTAAGTAATATCACAATTTAAAGAAATAACCCAAGATCAACTTCTTAAAACTATATTAATAAAAATAATTTAGGCTATTGCTCATAATTTGTACTGCTAAAAATAAATTGATAAACAAAAAAACTGATTACACATCACAATGCTCAACCTTACTGGCAAGCCAAACATTTTGAACCTCAGGGCACCGAATGTCATTTCAGAATACATTAGACCAGCAGACTGTAATTTTTATACCTGTTACTGAATCTTGATTATTGATAACAATTGAGCAACTATTTATTTGCTCCATAAACTAAGGTATAAAGGTAGTTCAAATAGTAAAATCATTGTGGTTATTGCATACTGACATGACACATACTGTATATACTTACATTTAAATTTAATGTAGCAGCTGTTGCAATACAAATCATTGTTCCGGATTCTAACTTCTGCTCCAGACTGGGATCCTCCAAGGTCGGTTTCACAAGCAAAACACTGTTAAAAAGACAAAGGGTCAAAATAAGCACTACGAAGGCTCTGCCCACAATTCCACTATAGAAGACACATCCAGGAGAGCTTGAAACATCTAAACCCAAGCAGAAAAGTAACTGAAATCATTAGCGGATTAGTTGGCAGCCACACATTGCAATTAGGTTTTGTTAGTGTACTATGCAAAGTGATCATGTCAAGCAAAGGGGGAATATCCAACACAGGGTACCAGAAAAGAGCAGAGATTTGGCACAAGTTAAACAGAAAGATACAGAAGTTGACTAAAAGATTTCTTGAAAGAGCACTAGGTTTTCAAGACGATTCCAAGCTTATATAAATAAGATGATGCACAGTTTTAGCTTGAGAATGATTTGATTACTATAAAGAAAAGACACACTTATTCCTATCTAACATTTGTAGATGTAAACGTACATTGAGGGTAATATTTCTGCTAGCTACAGATCAACATTTTATGTGAATAATATAGCTGACTGCGGGTTAGTCATCTGATCAGTATTTAGATTGAGAAGATGTGTGTGGTCACTTCTCTCTAGCTCCTCTTTATATCTCTGCATAAGAACAGGGAAAATTACAACTGAAACTATGAAGCAGTTGACTATTTTTTTTAATAGTTTGTCTAATAGTAAATCTGCTCTTAAAGTAAAAAAACAGTAACTGAAAACTTTCAGAAATAAAGTTTTTTAAAAACTTTTTTTTTTATATATGACACATTTACATTTAGCAGTAGTTCGAAACAAGATAATAAATCATGGCATCGTTTATGGGGTATTAAATAGATCATGTGGTGGGAATCCCTTTAAACCATCCAGCTTTCAAACTCCTAAATACATTATGGGGTATCTGTATTGATATTTTCATCCAAGATTTCACACAAATTTCATCCTAGATTTTGGCCATGTATAGTTTTGTGAAAAAGTAACTTTTTCACAGATCTATACATGGCTAAAAGTAGACTCATGATTATCACACCTATAGCAGCTTGTTAGACATCCCATTCCAAACTCCTTGAACAAACCCCACTCTTCTGGGAAGGAGTTCTACAAGATTATAGAATGCCTGTTGGGATTTGAGGCCATTCATCAAAAAGGAAATTTGTGATGGCAGGTATTGATGAACAAGAGGGAATATGGCCTACAATCAGTATTCCAGTTCATACCGAAGGTGATCAGTAGGGTTAAGGCCATGGCTCCGAAGCCACTCAGCTTCCTCTACATTAGAAACCATTGCTTTATGGACCTGGCTTTGTGCACAGTCATGCTGAAATAGAAAAGGGACTTCTCCAAAATCTAGGACACTGACCTGGAGCAAACATGGAGATCAGGAAGACAGAGTGAAGGCAAATCTCTAATCTGCATACTTGATCAGGCCTGAGCCTCAGAATTTATTGAATCTAGTGGATCACCCCTGCAGCTGAACTGATTTTTTTCTCCCCAAGAGAAAAAGTCAAGAAAGGGTGTTGCCTAGAAATAAACCTTAAGCCTTCCTAGAATACTATTGACAAACAGGTTGTATTATAAACTCTGTATACATTTTACAAGATGTTCATAGAAAACCTTCCAACATGCACAGGATTAATGTTAGTACCTACAGCATAGTGGATTAGTTGGCAGAGGATCAACTGAAATCTCCTTATAGTCTCACCTTAAAACAATGTAAATGAAAACAAAGACCAAGAGATTCGATGATCATGGCAGCTCCTTTGCCCAAACTGTTATTACAGTAAGAGCACAATTTCTTCCCGCTCACTGACCTAGATGCAGAATAAGAAAATAACTCAGTCCTTGTTTGAATCCTGGAGCATGTACTGGAATGTAAAAGTTAAAGGAAGCACAAATCTGAGGTTTCTGTGTGGACAAGCAGCATTAGAACACAATGGCGAACTCTGAAGCACCTCTGACGACATGAGGAATGAAGAAATATTTAGCTAGCAAACAAACACGCAAAACAAAATTTAATTATAGTGTAACTGTTAAATCTGAAAGAAAACATTAGTTTAATGACTCAGCTGAATTAAAATGACACAAAAACATTGCAGGCAGATCTTCTGGACACATTTTGTTCAGTTACTGAAATCGGAAGGGTAACAGGGCAACAATAGGTAAACAAATGTTCCCCTTTAGTAAAACCCTGTAATTCATGAAGATCATGCTAAGTTAATCAGGCCCTTATCCAGTCGAAACTAATTTATCAAAAGACCTGCAATGCTTTTCTTTGCTTTCACTAATAAGCGAATAATAAGCAATTGAACCCATGTAAGACTGATAATTCTCACAATGGATGTACTGGTTGTGAATTAGGCAACAGAGAAACTCTCAAAGGTTTAAAATCCTGATCACCGCTAAACGTTCTGTCACAGTTAGAAGACAGTGAAAAAAAAAACAAAATTCAAAACAAAAAAAGTTAGCTTGTTACTACAATTTAAATGGATTAAAAAGTGTTCTTACTTGCTGCGCTGCTGACCAGATGTCTGTGTTGTAGTTTGATTTTGAGGTAAAGTAGAGGACATAGATGTCTGGGAAAGGGATGCACTTCGCACAGACCCTGGGAGACTGGAAGATAGGTCACGTAGGTAAGTGCGGTTAGATGTGGAAACCACTTGAGAAGGACGACTAAAATCTTGACTGGATGACAAAGCGTTGTATGATGATGAATGATTTGTCCAAGATGATTGTCTTTGGGAGTTGAAGTCTAGATTATCCAATGATTCACCCCTGCAAAAGCAAACAGCACCATTCTGTAAAATTTAATCTTCTAAAATCCAATTACTTGACCACACTAAAAGCAAGCTTTATTTAAAAAAAGGGGAGGGATCTATTCTAGTGTTTTCCAAACCTGTCCACTAGATCCAGCAAGAGTGTTAGTTGCAGGTAACCTCACACAGCTGGATTAAATATTTTACAAACATGATTTGCCTGTGTAGTACTCCATGAAGTGGAACTCTTCATATAGTAACCCAAAAGTTGAACTTTAGGAGGAAATAATTCAAATATCCCAAACAAATTATATTTTATTCTCCGCAAACAGAGTTTGACAAAAAATTGCTACCATGCATACCATTTTATGGATGTCATCAATTTGCAGCTACATCTTCTGCTCCATGCCTGAGGCATCTCAACTGCCCATCTGTCCTCACTAACATGCATGCTCAGGTAAACTTGTTGTGCATGTCTGACCATCTTCTGACATCTATGGCTACCTTTTTTTGTAATTTTCTTTTTTAAGCTACTGCATACCTTCTCATAAAATTTGGAACAGATGACGTGTCTTTTGTAACGCTAGAGCTACGTTGCCTGATCCAACTGTTGTCATTGTTAAGATTGGTTTTCTTCCTCATTTCTAGAATTATTTTCTGCCTTTCCAGCTCTGCATTGACTTCCTTGCTTGGTCTTTGTTGGGAATCACCCGCTGTCCATGTAGTGTCAAAACCTCTGTTGCTGTCTGTAACAATGAAGATCAAAAATGGTAAAAATAGTAAAAGTAAAAAAGGCCAGTAGTACTTCATCCTTCTGAAGAGGCTCCTTTGCAAATTTACTAGCAAACATCTACAGCAGTGAAATGCTGCATATAACTGTTGGTTATCAACAAACTTTAAACCTGTTCATATAACTGTGTAACACTGAAAAACAAACCAGTCTAATTACAAGTGCAAAAAGTTAAATCAAACTGACCAGAAAGCCAATAAGCAGCAAGAACACGGACAGGTCCCTACAAAATGCAGCAAAATACATAAAAAAAAAAAAAAATACAACACTCCGACTAGCTCTATCAAGCCCAGAATGTGATTCTGCCTAAAACCAGCAGTAAATACATGCATATAAGAAAAGAATCAACTTTTATTTTTGGAACAAAAACAAATTTAAAACAAAAAAAAAAAAAAAAAAAAAGTGTTGGATGGTTTAAAATATAGAAAAATTAAATGTGAAATCCCAGGTGTGAGACACTCTAGTAAGAGGAGACAAATCTGGCTTTAATGCCTGAATTATATTACACCATATACAATCCAAATATAGCAGGAAATAGGCTTATGGCCCTTTCTCAGATCATAAGCCAAGAACATGTTCTTTCTGAAACCGTAGAATACAAATATAAATAATGCCTTATGTGGTTTCCTCTCAGTTTATTTGCAGTTTGCCTTTATAATGTGAAGAACCAGAGCAGGACACCTAACATTAGTAAAATGTTGTAGTACAGCAGATTTACTAAACATTTACAGATTAAATGTGTTAAAAGGGTCGCGCATCCTATACTTCCAAAGCAGGTAGTGTAATGATTAGATCAATATAAGCAGCAAGTCTTGATCTAAAAGCTATAATGAAACTCCTGCTTTGCATAAAAAAAAAGTCTAAAAAATATACCTAAAAGTATTTGCCAAACTGTATTCCTGCCTTTGTTATAGAGATAATATAAACATCAACATAAATATACAGTTAGGTCCATATATATTTGAACACAAACAATTTTAGTTTTTGCATGTATTTACCAAGACATATTCAAGCTATAGTTATAGAATGGATATGAGCTGAAAGTGCACACTCAGGTTTAATTTGAGGGGATGCACATCCAAATTGGAGGAAGGGTTTAGGAATTACAGCTCTTAAGTAGCCACCCCCCCTTTTTCAAGGGACCAAAAGTAATTGGACAATTGAATCAAAGTTGTTAAATGGCCAGTTGTGGGCTACTCATTCATTATTTCTTCATCAGTTAAGCAGGTAAAAGATCTGGAATTGATTCTAAGTGTGGCATTTGCATTTGGAATCTATTGCTATGAACCTACATCATGCGTTCAAAGGAGCTGTCCATGCAAGTGAAACAGGCCATTGTAAGGCTTCAAAAACTAAACAAATCAATCAGAGATAGCAGCAACACTGGGAGTGACCAAATTAACAGTTTGGTACATTGAGGAAAGAAGAACGCACTGATTAGCTCAGCAACATAAAGAAAAGGCATGGACATCCACGGAAAACAACTGGTGGATGATCGCAGGATCCTCTCTACGGTAAAGAAAAACCCATTTACAACATCCAGACAAGTGAAGGACACTCTCCAGGAGGTGGGCGTATCAAAGTCTACAATCAAGAGAAGACTTCACGAGAGCAAATACAGAGTGTTCACCACAAGGTGCAATCCATTCATTAGCCTAAAGAATAGAAAAGCTAGATTAGAACTTGGCAAAAAAAAAAAAAAATCTTAAAAAGCCAGACCAGTTCTGGAAAAGCATTCTTTGGCTGGATGAAACTAAGATCAATCTGTACCAGAATGACGGAAAGAAAAAAAAAAAAGTGTGGAGAAGGCTTGGAACAGCTCATGACCCAAAGCACACAATGTCATCTGTAAAACATGGTGGAGGCAGTGTGATGGCATGGGCATGCATCGCTTCCAGTGGTACTGGGTCATTGCTTATTGAAGAAGTGACAGAAGCAGCCGAATGAATTTCGCAGTGTTTAGAGATATACGGTCAGCCCAGATTCAGCCAAATGCAGCAAAGTTGATTGGACGGCACTTCACAGTACAGATGGACAATGATCCAAAACACACTGCAAAAGCAACCAAGGAGCTTTTGAAGGAAACGAAGTGGAATATTCTGCAATGGCTGAGTCAGTCACTTGATCTCAACCTAATTGAGCATGCATTTCATTGGCTGAAGGCAAAATTAAAGGCAGAAACAAAACAAAAAACAACAACTGAAGACAGCTGCAGTAAGAGCCTGGCAAAGCATCAGAAAGGAGGAAACCCAGTCTTTGGTAATGTCCATGGGTTCCAGACTTCAGGCAGTCATTGCCAGTAAAGGATTCTCAGCAAAATATTAAAAATGAACATTTTATTTATGATTATATTCATTTGTCCAATTACATTTGAGCTTTGAAAATGGAGGGACAGTGTATAAAAATGGTTGCAGTTCCTAAAATTTGTACTTGATATTTATGTTCAACCCCTTGCATTAAAGCTGTAAGTTTGTACTTCAAATACATTTGGAATGTTTCCTTTTAATTTATTCTTGTGGCATACAGAGCCAAAAGTATGAAAATTGTGCCTGTGTCCAAATATATCTGGACCTAACTGTATCCCATAGGATACCTATAATTTTTAGAAACAGAGCTGAATGGGGAATTCAGCTATAAAGAGGAGGTTAGTATTTATGAGTTATTAAGTCTAACCCTTTACTTTTTATACAGTCTGAGACCAATTGAAATTAATTTCTAGCTTTCTTGCAATTCTATATTTGTTTAGAATTTACAATACAGAGCTTCTTATTAAGTATGGAGATCATGTGTTCATTTCTATTCTGTCTCTCCTCTGGCTAGCACAGACAGGGGAACAAAAGCCTTCTCTACATATTAGATACCAAGTTGGTTTCTAAATTAAATCCTAAATTAAGTAGTTTTTTTAAGACTGATGTTTACGAAGAAGAGTTTACATTTTAGAGCTTAGACGCATTCTAGAAAAGGCATTATTAGTGGTTTACTCATGTTCCAGGCGTGCTTTTATGAATGTTTTATGTCAAAAAAGTTACACTTTATTAAACAAAGCAATATTAACATTAGCTGCTGTTATTTTAGCTTGCAGAAAAGCATCATTGTTAATGATTTGCATTTGATTGAGAGGAGGCGGGAGCAAAGCATTGGCCCACCTTGGCTTGGAACAGTTTGCCTTTGTGTAATTATTTTTCTCTGCACTTCTATATCTGATGGAGACTCTCTTCGCTCTCTCTTTTTTTGTTCATCCTCGAATTTCCAGTCAACAAAACCATAGGACTTCTTTTTAAGTGCTGCTTTAATAAAGGTTTAGACAAATTGTAAATTTGTAGAATCTTCTTCTAAAAAACAGCTAGCTGTATTTGATGTGTACAAAAGGCTTAGAATTGAAGGAATTTTATAACAGATATAATCTGCAGAATGTCTTAAGTATTTAAAGTTCACCTTACATATTGATTATATTAAAAATGCACAAATAATATACTGCAAAACCATAAAGTGGTTTATAAGAGTTGCTTGGTAATAGTACTTAGTAGATTAGATTACAATATTGTTAAAACATAAAGTGAAAGTGACAGTTGCAGAATTTTATGCTGTAAATGGTTTGGCACAGTGTTTATAAACACTGGTCAGACTCAAGATAAAGTAGCATTGCTTCCTTCACTTGCTGATCAAAAGAGATGAGCTTTGATGTTCATATGACATCAGTTAAAGCAGCATGGCAAGTAAAGTGTTTTTTTTTTTTCTATAAACTGGACCAAAGTTTGGAAAAAATTGGGTAACATGCCACCTGATGGGCTGTTGTATGTAACCGTATCAGTTTGTTCTAGTTTTCATAAAAGCATCATTGTTAATCCATCACCTTGACAGAAAGTAGGTAAAATCATGACAAAAACCATGATACAATCCTGATAGAGGTTATAAATGTTCCTCATTCTACTAGAAAATAATTATGTCTGCCAATGTCTATGTTGCGGCAAGTGGGCTGGGTGGGGGATTTCCAATTCCTGTTCTCTATGAGACCCATCAAATAGGTAGTTGGGAGGAATCCCCTAAATGGGATAAAGAAAAAGCATAAGTGTCTTCTATTCACACACTCATAAGGCAGTAATGTGCATAGTTTTTAGGAGTAGGAGTGAAGCTATCAACCTGGATGTTTCCAAACATCACCATGCCATCTTATACCTCCATGGGCTCTTCAACGGACTTACAGGTAGTATCACTAAAGACCCACAGTCTTGCTACCCTTTTAATATTGTGTGTTCATAAAGATTGTAATAGGTAGTCTTTTGGTTTGCACAAATATAAATCGTCACTTACCATGGTCTGGATCTGCATAATCAACTGAATCTGAGGAGTCTGTCCATTTGTTTCTAAAAAGCATAAAAACATCATGAGAATGACCCATAAAACATTATGAGACTGACTGGCAAACCAGCCCCGCTAGCTATGAACTAACCATTAAGGAGAAATCAGAAGTAACCTTTGAATTCCAACTGCAGAGATATCACCACATTCATGCTCCACTGAGATCTACATGTACCTCTGCGTGCTGTGACAGATGGGACCTGTACTCTTTCCGTTCACAGGAATCTGTGAATGGATGACACAGCTGTACACCAAGATTCTGGTAAATAGGGAAGTTGTTTGAAGGTGGGGGTTAGCGAATGCGATCACGTTTCAAACATGGTTCCAAAAGGTGAATTAACTAAGCCTTTAAATCTTGAATTTGTTGACCTGAACATGCTTAATATAGTACATGTTGTCAAGTACCAAAATAAGGTCATGCATAAAAGTAACGCTGGTACAAGGTACTGCAATTGGATGAAAACTGAAAATAAAAGCACTTGAATCTTATCATTTTGGCATGAATTTAATTTAAAAGATGGCAAGTTATTTACTTTTGCAGCCAAATTAGAATAACACCAACACTGTATTTTTTCGCATGCTGCCATTCACAAATATCTTTTTAAAAAAATTTAAAAACTGCTTCTTACATTTTTACAGGCTCTTTTCTGAAAAATCTTACTTGGTTCTTCCTTTTAATATGTTTATGAGGGAGCCATAATTCACCCTGTTTGTACTCTGCTTGCAGATTTCAATTATACAAATTTTGATATATTTTTTACAACTTGTAAACTAGATGTGCAGGACTATCTTAAAGGGTTAAACATCTGATAATTGGATTGTGCATTGTATGTTAATGTACCTTCAAAAACACATGTTCCCGAGTTTGACCCCTTTTCCAATGTTGCTGTGCATTTAAAGCAATAAAACTGCTCCAAAGAATCAATAGGAATACATACCATGATGGGAGCATCTCAAAAGTTGAAAATACCCTTTAGACTTCACTAGTAAAGGAGGTGGCAAGTTAAAGCAGAGTTCCAGTGAAAATAAAAAAAATATAAAGGTCAACAGCTACAAAAACTTACCTGTCCCTCAATCCCACGGTGTCCCCTCCCCCACCTACAGCCAGTTTCACCATCCTCCCTGTGTTCCCGGCACTGGCATCTTCAGTGTGCAGGAGACAACTGCTGTTTCCGATTGCCTAGGAGATCTCAGTGGAAGCGGATACCTGTCAATTTTGGGTACCCATCCCCGCCCCAAAAGGTGCCAATATTTAATGGGGAGCTAGGGACCAATCCTTAAAGTGGAACGTCCCCTTTTGGGTGGAACTTCACTTTAAAATATGCAGATGCTGAGGATGTGGTGCTGGAATTGAGGTGAACCCCAATTTGGTAAATCAATATACCAATTTCCACAAAAACACTGAACTTTTGCCATAACATGGTATTAATGTTAATCAAAATTGGAAGAGATTCTCATTCATTTACGAAATATATTTTGAATCTTGCAGTTGCACTTCCATACCTGAGATAATTTCTTCCTACTCTCTCACTCTCAGATTTCAGCCGCTGCTGCTCTTCTTGATCTTTCTTCCTCTGCCATTCCTCTTCCCTTAGTCTCCTTTGCTGCTCTTCTTTCTGACTTCTTTCTTTATCTTGCCTTTTCCTTTCTATTTCTTCCTGCTGACGCCGAAAGGCATCTTCCTCTGCCCGGCGCCTCTGTTCTTCTAAGAGATTCATCCTTTCTTCTTCTTCTTTTCTCTTTCTCTCACGTTCCGCTTTCTGTCTCCTCTGTTGTTCTCTATGGTCATCTTCACTGCTCAGTAAATTAGATGCTTCAGATCCTTCTGATTTCTTGTATGAAGGCACATGTGAAGTTACAGAAGTGTTGAATTTCAGGATTGTTTCCTCCTGTGATAAATATAGGCTACTAGTGAGTGTCACTGCATATGCCCTATAAGAAAAAGTTATAAATAGTGAAAAAAAATGAAACCTGATTGATCTGTTGAGATTTTCCTTTCTCTGCTCTTTCTTGCTGAGCTTGCTCCCACTCATCTTTAAGCTTTTCTTGTTCTTTCTTGTACTTTTCCTGGAGCACAAGACAGACATTTATTTACAAAACTTAAGTGCAATGAATGACAAATGAGCATCAATGTTCAGTGAGGTCTTTGACTAGACACAAAGTACATATTTGCCATCTATGTAGAATTTTTAATATAATATTACATATATTTTCATTGCAGACTTAGTCCACTGAAAAGTGACATTTTGTTGGTGAGCTGAAATGCCCACTTGGTATTACTTTCTTTGAACACTACAATTGCAAATTTTCCCTAAATTGCCTGTCCCTCCCATAGAGCCCCCTAATGAAGGTGTCCTGCTGTCAAGGTTGATTTTCATAGTTACTCATACATTCTACAATAACAAAAATCCAAACATTTGTTACAGGTGTCTTTTATACTGATAACAAGTTCAAACAGGTGCCACTGATACAGGTAATGAGTGCAGGACAGAGGAGCCTCTTAAAGAAGAAGGTACAGGTCTGAGAGAGCCAGAAATCTTGCTTGTTTGTAGGTGACCAAATACTTATTTTCCACCATAATTTGCAAATAAATTCTTTCCAAATCAGCCAATGTGATGGTCTGGATTATTTTTCTCATTTTGTCTCTGATAGTTGAGGTCTACCTATGATGCCAATTACAGGCCTCTCTCATCTTTTTAAGTGGGAGAACTTGCACAATTGGTGGCTGACTAAATACTTTTTTGCCCCACTGTATATGGACTATCTAAAAGGACTAAGGACATAAACCACTTGCCCTCCAGAGGATTGACCCCCCCCTTCATTTTGTGCGATATGGCGCTGCATTACTTTGACAACTGCACATCATGCAACGCTGTACATAAATAAAATTCATGTCCTTTTTTGCCCACAAATAGAGCATTCTTTCGGTAGTATTTGATCAACTCTGCATTAATTTTTTGCGCTAAAAACAAAAAAAGACCAACAATTTTGAAAAAAAAAAAAAAAACAAAAACAAACAAACAATATTTTTTACTTTTTGCTATAAAACAAATCCAATAAAAAAAAAAAAAAAAAAAAAAAAAATCTAATTTAGTCATAACTTTAGGCCAAAAATGTATTCTGCTACATGTCCGATAAAAAGAATCCCAATAAGTGTAAATGAATTGGTTTACTTGAAAGTTATAGTGTCTACAAATGGTGGTATATATACTTGATTTTTTATTTTTTTTATACTAGTAATGGCAGCGATCAGTGACTTATAGTGGGACTGCAGCGAGCATTCTGACACTGGGGGGGAACTGAATAACTGCCACTGACATCCCCAGTGATACTAATACAGTGATCAGTGCTAATAAAAAGCACTGACACTGTACTAATGACACCGGGCAGGAAGGGGTTAACTTTTAGGTGATCAGATTTGAGGTGATCTATGTATTATACTACTGAGACATGCTGGCAGCAGAGACACCTGTGCTTACACACAGATTTCTCCCATCAGCTTCACACGGCGATCGCCGGGACCCAGCGGCTGACATCCCTAGCCGCCAATGGCTAAGTAGGCAAGTATATATACACACGTGATATTGCACCGCCCTGCCGCAGTACTTCTACTATAGTGCAGCAGGCAAGTGGTTAATACTAGTATTACTTCCATTATGCGATACTAATCTACCATTTCCCCTTTTGACTCCTGAGTGCCACTTTTTCTCCCTAAGGCTTTTGCATGTAACTACAAAAACCTTACCTGCAGAATTTGTTCTTGTTCTTGAAGCCATTTTTCCTGCCTCTTTCTTTCACCTTCAGGATCCCACGACCATCGTGTTGAAACATTTAGTGATGGAACCGGCATCTGCAATATCAACACAGTTAAAATACAGCATATACTTCTCAGGTCCCCAAAAAATCATTAAATAGCAAAGCATAAATGACATCCCTACAGTATGCAATACTAACACTACATACTTGAGGGAATTTATGAACAATGGAGAGGCCAGAAGCTGGAGCAGTTGTGCATGGCAATCAACTTTTATTGTGGAAGTAAACTCTATTTCGCATCTTTTACCTACAGGTAAGCCTTAAATAAGGCTTACCTGCAGGTACTGTAAATATCTCCTAAACATGCACCGTTTAGGAGATATTTACTGTAGAAGTGCATGCACACTGTGCTCTCAATGGACAGCGTGCCATCCATTGATAGAGCTATGCCGCAGCCGTAACTCCCTTTGTGCATGTGTGGGAGTGACACAGTTCGCAAACCCAGAAGAAAGACTGGGTGAGGATTGGAAGCCTCAGGGAGCTGTGACAGCGCTCCACTGGAGGGCTTCATTTTCAGGTCTTTCATAATGTGCTAATATGGGATGCATACTAGCACATTATGCACTTAACTTGCAGGGAGCAGATTTTTTAGAATTTTTTTTACTAGTTTGGTTTACTACTGCTTTAACTTTCATTTGCAAAGTTTAACTGAACAAGCTGAAGATAGAAGCTGATTGATTGCCATGCACAACTGCTCCAGATTCTGTCTGCTATAGTTTTGATATATTCCACCCACTGAATCCTAATCTCCTCTGGGGCAAAATTTATTTAGATGATGGTAAGTTATTGCCGCATCCTATTTAAATGGGACAGCACTAATAAAGTGAACAAGAGGAACCATGTTGGATACCCAGACTGAGAATTGTGCTGCTGAAATCAAGTAAAAAAAAAAAAAAAAAATATTTAAATTAATTTTGTTCCCATTAAAATACCAGGTTCATAAAATTATTCCTTGTAAATGATTACTTACATCTGGCACAGCAGAATCTGAACTTCCTATAAACAGAAGGAAAAAAGTAATTGGAAGATTAAGTCACCAACACACCACTCATTTAGGCACATTAAAAAAAGCGTAAATGTAACTGCTTGCATTTACAGTCTTCAGTTTGATGAGAAAATACTTGCTATTAGGCTCCTTTATATAGATCCATGCCTGTGAGGATGTGGTGAAAAAGACCACCACCTGTCACCTAGCAGACCAGTCCCTGATTAAAATAGATATTGCAGTGATTTTATTATAAATGTAACTTACCTAACAGCTAAGAGGGGGAGAGGGGAAGCCCTACTTGAAAACCACACTTTAGGTCCACTTTAAGACCCAACTTCAAGAAAAAGAATCTACTCCAACCCTTAACCGCTTTGTAAAAATCCAACTTGATATTGCATCCAACCTTACCTTACTCCTTGCTCCAGAGACTCCCTTCAGTGCTGCAACTGGTCTCTTACAACTGATTCTGTAAACAGCAACCATCTCGAGCGGGAAGGCAGATAAGTGATACATCCAAGAGGAAAGCAAAGAGGATCAACCTGATGCTCAAGATCAGGATAGAGGAGATCCCCAAAGGAGAATGACTCAATGCAAAGGAACATTGATTCTGAACCAGAAACCCACCAAATCAAGTGAAACACAAAAACTACCTTTTTAAGAAAGAGGCAGACCCACAATATGATAAAAAATGGGTGAAGTCCCAAGGAGAACAGATTCCTATTGGGAAGCAAGCACAAAAAGGAAGTGGGTTGCCTGGTCAAACAACCAATCTCATTAAACAAGATATTCATTACAGCACAAAAATCCATAAGGTTTGGGAAATCACCTCTGAGACCATTGTACCATGGGGGTACAATCCCATGAACTGAGCCTGATTGAAAGGTGTAGGCTGCACAAAGGGCACCCTCACAAGTCTAAGCAGAGATAAAGGTTATACAATGGATATAAAAACGCTTTACAACCCTGTAAAAATTCCAGGTTTCTGAGATAGAAAAAATTCTTAAGTGATTTATCTTGGTCTGATGTTTTTTTTACATCTTTAATATGACTTATAATCTGTAAAATTCAAATCAAAACCAAACTAAAATCGCCAAAGGGGGAATAATAAGATTTAAAAAACTTCCAGCAACGTGGTTGCATAAAACGCACACCCTTAAACTAATACTTTGCTGAAGCACCTTTTGATTTTATGTCCGCATTAAGTCTTTTGGGTGGTGGAAGTCAGAATGGCACATCTTGCCTTGGGAATCTTTGCCCCCTCTCCTTTGTCAGATTGCGAAGGCAACTTCTGCGTATAGGCCTCTTCAGTTCACCCCACAATTTTACAATTGGATTTAGGTCCGGGGTCTGTCTGGGCTATTCCAAAACTTAGATTTTCTCATAGAATGCTGGGAAGCCCAGGGAAACAGATGCATCATCTTGTGCAGTAGCACAACAGATGAGGAGGAGCAACAAAGAGGTGCTACAAACAAGGGGTAATCTAGGCTAAAAGTGGTGTCCTCTTTACCCAAATGCCGAAAGGCAAATTACCAAAGGACCCATCCAGATGCACTGTCAGCCACCCCAGTTGTAGCACTGGGAGCACACCGTCATGCAGAAGACTTTAGAGGGTTAGCTGACCTCTGGATTTGAGCCAATCAAGCTGCATTGGAGCCAGACTTTGAAGGACTGCAGTAACCTACTGGTTAATTAGATAATTAGATAGAGATGGGTGGGGGGCAAGCTGTCACTATAGATTGTCTAGTGTGTGAGAAGACTGCCAGACGTCACATACACAGATTGTAGATGGACAGAGCAGGGAGGATCCACTATTGATTGAGGCAAATGCACTGTACGAGGTTGTGCTTTGTTCAATTCAAAAGGTTTACAGCTTTAAGGAAGGATTCTAGTTGCATGTCACTGGAGTCCTAAGAGGTGAGCACACAGTCAATCAGTCTAATTGAATTCCTGTTAAAGGAGGTCACTGATAGGAACAGACCACCAGTTTACATATTCCCTCTCAAATGGGAAAGGTTCAGACACATTCTCATGTGTGGCCCAGGGTCCTTCGATATCCTTCCATTCTGCATGGAGGAATGTCTGAGTGGTTATAGTAGAAAGCTCTCTAAGGCTGCAGGAGTCCTAAAAAAGCAGGATGATCCTCAATATGCAGAGTAGAAGTAAAAAGAATCCAACGTCCCAAGACAATAGCAAAAAATTGAGCCATGCAGTGTAGAAGAGAGGAGTTGTACAGGGGCTGGATTACGAGTTTGCCAGTGTCCATTCTGCAGGCAGCAGTAAAACCTAACTATCTTTACTAATGTGCCTCAATGGATGAGAAAATTTTTTATATATATATATATATATATATATATATATATATATATATATATATATATATATATATATATATATATATATATATATGAATGAAAGTATATTTTTTTTTTATTTCTATATTTGACTGACTGTAGAACATTGGTATTTATGGAAAAAAAAAAAACTAACACGAGAGTCACAGAAAATCCAGATAATAGTCTATAATCTCTAAACCTGCTTTGTAACCACATAGTAAATATAAGCATCACAAATGGTAATAAAATTTAATATAAAATGTTATAACATTTTAAAATACAGCAAAAAGCAGCACAAACACACACACATGCTGGTTAGTTAAAACAAATGCTTTAGCATGCACAGAAAAAGCTATGCAACCTTCTCCCTTAATCGGCCTGCCTGTATGCAAACATTTGCTGGTATAATGCAATCCACAATTCATTTGATGGTTATCAGTAAATTGTTCTTTGCAAAAAATGTCAATAATTTAATGCAGGATGAAATATGAAACACCATTCAAAAACATGTTCAAAATCACCCACATATTGAAAATCTGTTAATTGTAAATGTAATCAATAAGAAGATGTTGCCGAGTTTCTTACAAATTCTTAAATCTCTAATTCAAGGATTACTACTTGGATGATATATTTTCTTCTCCTTAATCTGTGACAAATGTCACAATAAATTTACTTCTCCTTAATCTGTGACAAATGTCACGATAAAAACTACTTACATGGAACAGATAAAATTTTCATTTCTGTGGAATTTCTTGACCGGGAAAATATTGGTCAAGCCAAAACTAATCTATACTTATAAATAAAAATAGAAATTTACTTAAATGTTTTGGATTGATTTAGTAGACAAAAAGATGCTTAACTAAACAAAATAAATAAAATAGACTATTGTTTCTTTGAAAAATAAGCCAAACCAGCCAAAAAGTGCAAGAAGTGCCAATCTGAAAATATGCAACATGTATACATAACAATTAGCTGTCATAGGCTTTTTCTTCCAGAGTGTGGGTTATGGCAAAGGGGATGGGGAGTTTATCAAACCACAATGGAAATACCATAACACAAAACACCCTTTACCACATAAGTAGACCCATGAGCTGTATGAAAAACCAGATGATCCTGAAGAGAAAACAAATGTATTATGTTTCTTTCAGCAGATGGCAGTAGAGGCTCAGAACCCAGCACCATGGTTAGTACTAAAGGATCCCTTTGGACAGTCAGCAATAGCAGAGCATCTTTTTACAAGGGTTACCTTGCTCAAAAAATTGTGAACGCCTTTTATAGTTTTTCAAAGAAATTGGCTCATAGTCTAATTGAAAAATACAAAGGAAAACAATATTACGACCAATTAAACAGAAAAGATATTACGGCAACCGTAAAGATGAAGAACCCAAAATAAACACTACATTTAAACCTTTCTGGAAGAGAAAGTAAATACACATTGAGGGGAATTTATCAAAGTAGGAGCAGCTAGAATCTGGTGCAGTTGTGCATGGTCACCAATCAGCTTCTATGTTTGAGAACAAGCTAAGGCTAAAGGCTAATTAGTTGCCATGCAGAGATGCTCCAGATTCTAGCTGCTCCAGTTTTGGTAAATTCATGCATTTTCTAGCATGACCTCACGTTTAAAAAGCAATTAATATGTACATCACACCAGTAAAGATTAGTCATAGTACATGAATCACAACCACACCTGGATATAAGTAGTATTTATGCAGTTCAGAGCTGTCTGAGCTCTAAATGAAATAAATCCTGAAATTTCAGTCAGATTATTAGATGCAGTTGAAGAAATGGAAGCAAGCATCCTCAACAGTTATGCTCATCTTCTGAACAAACGCAGTACTAACAAGATACATCTAGCTGCACACACAGGTGCTGAATCTGTTGCTCACAGATCAATAAAGGGTCTAAAAACCATAAAAATATATACTTGTAATCTTTAATATATATTCAGCAGAGAAAGCCGAGGAGCCTTGCTGAATACATTTTATGTTACAATTATGAAGATCTAATGTAAGGTAGTAAAACATGTTCAATTATGAAACCATTCTAGATAATAGACTTCACACCAATGTTATGAAGCAGCAAAGTTTCAATTAATCTGTTCATGCTATCATTCCATGCCATGTGTAAGCCTTTAATGAAGCACTGAACAGTTAGATTTACAGCAACTGATTTCAAAACACCAATGAGGCCAATGGACATTTCAGTTTATACAGCAACACATGCATGCTTCTTGAATTAGTCATAGTGGTCTCATAAACCATACAATTTGATGACGGGTGCCAAGAACCAGCATGGACTCCAAAACAGACAAACCTCATCTTCACCCCATGTTACACAGAGAGTGTGCCCTTTGACCCTGGAAAACACCTTCACCTAAATGCTGCAGGCAGATCACCTCCCTAAAACATTTACCCAAGTCCTCAACCTACCCATCATTGTGCACAGCTGCATCGCTTCTCTCCTCTCTCCCTCTACACACAGGGACTGAGGCAGCAGTGGTAGCTATTGGTTGCTGCAACTGTCAATCAAATGCTGTAAAGAGACCAGGGCAGGGCCGAGCTGTACAGTTTGTGTCTATAGACACAGCCCCATTCAGGTTCCAGCCTGCATGTCGAACAGGTTGTTATGGAATAGACACAACAGAAGAGGAACAGCGAGCTCTGGCGGATGACCAC